ATGCTCAGTAATTTTCTATAGGCATACCAATGCTCAGTTCCAAAGCTGAGTGAGTATGTATACTTCATATTTGGGATCTTTACCAACTTCTACCATTGTAAAGTTTAATAAAGTGGTGCTCTAAGAGGCAAGTTCTGTGAACTCATAGGTTAAAGTGCACCTAATACTCTTGGCATTAATCATGTCACCTGCTGGACATTCAGCCTTCCCACAGATAACAGTGCAGTCACATTATCCCTTGTGTAAAGACCTTTGAAGCTTGAGGGAATATATGTCTAAACCATAGTGGGAAGGAGGGACTGGATTCAAGAACCATCAGATATCCTAGATCAGGGGTCAGCAAACTATAGCTCACAAGTCAAAAGTGGCGCACTGCCTGTTTCTGTAATTAAAGTTTTATTGGAATACAGCCATGCTCATTCACTAATACATTGTCTATGGTTGCTTTTGTGCTACAACTGCAGAGTTAAGTAGTTACCACAAAAACAAGCTTAATAGTTACTACCTGACCCTCTACCAAATAACTTTGCCAACTCCTATCCTAGATGAAGACAGGACCAGCTTTATCAATAATTTGGTAGCAAATTCTACCTAAATTATGCAAACAGTTCTAAAGTGGAGTGCAGTGCTAGGAATAGTATTATTTCAAGAAATTGTACCATAATTTTCTGATACAGGATTACTTCAGTTTATGTTACTGATCTGTATATATCATCACACTATATAGAATTAGTCAGAAGAATGCCTGATTTGGTAAATCGTAAAGGTAAATTTGCTAAACGTAAAGGTAAATTTCACAGCATGACCTGCACTGACAGATTACTTTTAAAGCAGAGTTCAATGTTACTATTCAATATTTGAGGCCAGAAAATTGCCACATTTTAGCTTTTTTGCTACATTCTAAGATTTTAGCTTTGAACTTGATCTCTCTCCTAATTTCTTGAGAAACTCTTATTCAACAAACATTGAATGGGCACTTAATCTGTGCCAGACCCTGAGTTAGCTCTGGAACAAAATAAAGCTTATACTTGGGCCTGATCACACAACAAGATATTTAAGGAAAGAGATTATCCTAAAAAATCACAAGGGACACTTGTAATAATTGTTATAGTTGAATGACAGTGCTCTGTGTTTAAACTGCGCTCTGTCTAGAGTGGTTTATGGAATTCATATGTCTAAGACAAGGTCTATGACAGATTCAGGGAATCTGGTATTTGGACTAAAAAAAAAATTATATCTTTATTTTTTACTAACCTCTTCCAAATTCACAATTTCCTTCCACTATGAATATAAGCCACAACTGTTATAGTAGACTTAGTAGAAAAATAGAATTTGTCACCAATAGAAATCATATTTTCATATCATATTACATTTGTTACAAATATCTTATTTAAACACATGATCATTTAAAATTATTATAGTTATAAGACTCATTGATAGATAGTAAATACTATTTACTATATTAATAAAAAGCACTTAAGTGCTATATCACACATTTAAAATAATTTTCATAACTATATTTCAACATAATTTGTTTCCCTTAAAATTCTACGTATTTTATTTTTTGCATATTAAAATATTATTCCAAAAAGGGAGTCTACAAGGTTTCACCATACTGCCAAAGGAGTTCATGACACAAAGAGATTAAGACTTCTGCTCTAGGGCCAAGAAATAAACAAATATAATCACATCTAAGATAATTCTCTATAGATTTTTAAAAACTACCTATTTTCTATTAAGTGCCATATACTCATTTTGTTCTCTAATGTAGAGCAAAGACCAAATGTCACTATTTTTAGCATCTTCCACTTCCAAACTGGTTTGCAAATAGCTGTGAATGTGACATAATAGCCTAGCAGATTCATGGGTTCCACTAGCTTTATTGGTAGTAATTCCAGTCCAAACATAGAAAGCTTCAAACTAATATAATTTTCAACTTTCAACAAGAGAGAAAGAGAAAGAGACAGAGGGAGAGACAGAGACAGAGGGAGAGAGAGAGAGAAAGACGATAAACAATCAAACTTAAAACACATGTCCAGGTACCCATTTGACAGGGATATTGTGAAAAGAGAAGTTTAGGACTAGAAACACAAAGGTTTAAGCTTAGGAAAGAGAAGGTGCTCAAAGTCACCCTCTGAACAGATAAGCAGGAGAGTTGAGCCCTGTCCTCCTCACTCTTTCCTTTCTAAGTCTGTATTTCTAATGTGACTGATATGATAAAGTAAAAAATGTCAAAGCAGCCACAATCTTGAGCAAAATGGAACTCTCACAGTCATCGATGAATAGGGAGTACTCTTACTTTGGGTTTCTCTAATTGAAAATATTCCCTCCAAAATCATGACTTTTAGAAATACTTACTCTTTCCAACCTATTTTAGGGTAACACAAACGTTGGAGAAAGACCTATTTCTATTTGACTCAGAAAGGGGACTATCTCTATTAGTAGAAAAGCCAGATGATCTGACTTCAGATCAGCATTTATAACCTAGAGGTTAGACAGCTCCACAGGGGAATCATGAATGGGGTCAGGTGGTTTACAAACTCCATGAGATTGTATATAGAATTTGGTGAGTATGTATAGATTTCAGATTATTAAAGGGCTGTTTAACCAGAAGAACCATTACCTCTGCCACAGTTACAAAGTATAAAACAAGAGGAAGCAATAATTCTTCCCACAGTCACAGAGTGAGTCAATGTCATCAGATAAGGTAACCTGGGACTTCTGAATCCAAGGCTCTATCTGACTAGATCGTTCTCCTCAAGGGATCAAATATCCAAAGAGAAGGTCTCCAAGAAAAATAAAACCTCACCTGTTTATGGAAGGAGAAATCATAGGCCGAAGAAGGAATAAAGTTAATTCTTTATTAAGCAAGCCATTATACTGGTTTTCAAAGGGAATTTGCAAAGCAGGGTAGGTCAAAAAGAATAATTTCATTCAGGAAACACAAAAGACCCTAGAGGCAGTGCTACAGTCTCCAAGCCTGAATGTCTTCTCTTCTATGGTCAGTTACCTTGAAGCATATATTCTGTTCCAGAAAGAAATTCTTCAGTAGTTCCTTTTAGTTAGGTAAAATATAAGCCAAGTAAACATCTAAAAGAAAAAGGTTTAACTATCCACTTTTTTAAAAGCTAAACAAAGGCCATCCCTCACCATTCCCAACTCATTCCCATTCAAGAATCTTTCTGAACTCTCTCCCCTATCACAAAGTACACATGTGTACAGGAGTTATTAAAATTACCTCAAGCTTCATCTATCAGTGTGGTTTTTTTTAATAGGTGGCACAATCAGTAACACCTTCTACAAAGGGCTGTAAAAAAGGAGGCAGTGTAACTCACTTTAGTTCATTTCATCTGCATCACTTACAGCCCTCATGAAATGGAATCAGTAGGAAATAAAACCAGCAGCTAAAACATCATTTGAATAACCCACAGCATAGTAACATTGCTAGTCTTGGCCTCCAGTGCACAAATCACTGAATTGAATAGTTAAATATATTTAAGCCTCCCCCATGTGGCATTTTAGTCACCACTGTTGACCTTCCCAGAATCACTTTCTTCTCTGTGATGGTCACCATCTGTTTGCCACTGACTACTGCACCAAATCCCATTCTCAACTAATATCTAGGAATTCTCTGTTCTTGCAGAATCACTAAATATCAAGATTGAAAAGGACCCTGAAGGTTCCATATCCCTACTCCCATTTTATTCTTAGCAGAATGCGACATCTCTCTGCTGTGCCCTTCCTAAGCCTTGTTCCTACCTGCCCCAAAGCTTCCCCTTCCTCAATGTCTATTCCTAGCAGTTTGTCCTATTATAAACCCCTATGTCTGCACTGCCTCTATAACGATCACTGTCCCTATTTCAATATGTAAGTTCTGGTTTTCCCACCTGAGAGACTGTTTCAATCCTCAGTCGTAGCTAATCACCTCAATTATATTTGGGAAGCCTTCTCCAGTTAAGTCTATCTTAGAGAGCCTGTGCCTGAAGAATAAATCCAATCTTCCCATCTGCACCTTTGTACTTAACAGACAGCCCTAATAGAATCATGGCATTTCAGACCTGAAAGAAAACTCAGAAATAATGTGGCCCAATGTTTTTAGACTTATTTACTACATTTTATTTCACATATTCTTATATGAAATCCATTTTACATCACAATCTCATACACACATAGCTGAAACAAGTTTCACACAATACTTCCCTTTGTGAACACACTGAAAATTTCTATTCTATTCTTTTTAAAATTTAGGTGCCATCCACTAAATGGATTTCACAACCCAATAATAGGATGGAACCCATAGTCTAGGAAACAGTCATCTAGTCCAAACTTCCTATTCACGGAGGAAGAAACTGTAGTTCAGGGGTGAAGTAAGTTCCCAGACACAAGAAGTTTGTCCATAAAGTTAAAGTCGGGTCTGTACGGTAAGTCCCGGACCGACGCTCTTGCCACTAAAGACCTGTTCTCCCCAGTCACAGCCACTCAAGCACACCCCGTGCCCAACACAGCCCTACAGTACCATCTCGTAACTGGTCCCACACTCTTCTCCAAGTCCGTCCCTCAAAGTTATTGCTCGGTGGCCAGAGTCTCTCCACAGCTGCTGCTTCGCGTTCCCTTGGGTCAAAGTATCGTCACAGTCACCATCCATCGATCAATCTCCTCCGAATCACTGGCCCTCGGTCACAGACCCCACGCAGTCACTGCCTCACACTTCTTCGGTCATAGTTCCCTCGCAACCTCTGCCTCGTGTTCTCTGAGGTCAGAGTCCCTTTGCATTCACTGCTCCCGGTCGCAGACCCCTCGTAAGCAGCTACATCCCGGTCACAGTCCCCTCGCTGTCACTGCCCCTGGGTCACAGTAGCCTCGCCGTCCCTGCCGCACACTCCCCTCGCTGTCACCGACCCACTCTTCTTCCGTCTCCTCGCGGCCCCAGCCCCACAGGGTCCTCCTCTCAAACAGAGCCGCAAGGATATGCACACACCGGGCCCCCGCCTGCAGCTCACCTTCCCTCGACCCCTGTCCCGTCGGATTTCTCCCGGGCGCAGCGTCACGGACAAGGGAAGTCGAGGAGGTGGTGGGGAGACGCCCGGGAAAGGCAGCTGACGGAACAGCCGGCCGGAAGTCCCGCCTACTGCCCTCCCCCTTGTCAATCCCACCACGAGTTTTCCCTGAAACCCCCGACCCCTGACACAGTAGTTCCGCCTCCACAGGGGCGCCCGGACGGAGTGGCTGAGCAGAGGCCACCAGCCAGGAGGTGACCTGGCCACGGGTCGGGCTCCGCGCGGGACGAGCAGGCGGCGGCCTCCTCGCAAGGAGATGCGGGTGTGGGCCGCCGCGCGTGCTCCCGGCCTTGCGTGAAGCAGCGGCGTTCCCCCCGCCGCTCCGAGCTCCGTCCCTTCCAGGCGGCCCTGTCGGGACCCTTCCCACTCTGTCCCCAGCGCCCGGCGCGCCGTGCCGGACACTGTTTCGGGGCACTCACAATGCAGGCGGCCATGACGCCTTCGCCGGACGCGGCTGCTTCACCGCGGCGCCATCTTTCCCCTCCTGGGCGGGCGCTGTGGGGAGAATTGAGGTCCGCCTACCGAGCCCTGTAAAAAGCTGTAGCTGGTTCCAAACCCTCTCCCCTGAGTAGTATAAACCTATGTGTAATAAATATAATGAATCCTCTTGTTTCTGACGCGGGTTGGCGCACCCAGAAATGATCCCTAGGAATCAACTGTGGGCTAGCTGAGCGGAACGTGGAAGAAAAAGGGGTTTTATGGGCAGTAACCTCGCAGGGTGAGCTGACGATCGTAAATTCCTGAGGAGGTCATGGTGGATAGGTAGCCCCAGGCGGGTAACGTTTTTTAGTAAAAGGCTTGTCTTTGCCTTAGCAAGTCCTGTCCATTGTTTCTGCGCACCTGAGGCTCACACACTTCAGAAAGGCGCCGTCTCAATGGCGACCACCCGCAAGAGGTCACTGTCCTGCGTCCCACCCCCAGCTTGACTTCTCCCACCTTCGTGGGCGTCTTTCAGTTCCCTCGTCATCGCAAATGTGTGAAAGAAGCTACACACAGTTATTCTGAACAGCAGTTGAGATCTTGCTCCCGGACATATGCCATCCATTTAGCTCAAATAAGCTCATAAAAAGTCTCTCCAGGTTGGCGGTGTCTGGTCAATAAGCAGGTTGGAGGGAGACACTGGCGGGAAAGCACATGGCAGGGTGTCTGGTGACGAGAAGTGTTTTCCTCTGTTAGAAGGAACCTTTGGAGGGGTCCCTTCAGATTCTATAGATGTAAGGCAAGTAGATAGCCATTGTTATGGAAGAAGTATGTAAAACTGCTTTTTAATATAGTTTCTTATTCATTTTTATTTTTGTCTACATGCTTGAAAGTGGCTAAAAAGAAAGAGAGTGGGTAAACGTGTGTGTACTGAGAAGCCTCCAGGGAAAAAAAGGATTTAAATCGTGACCCTTTCTCTTTTGAGTTTCAAACAGTTATTTGAACAAGGCTATGTTAAACAAAAATTTTAACTCTCACCTTTTTTTTTTTTTAGAAATATTTTATTTAGCCAAAAGCGCTAGCCAAAAAGACGACCAGGTTTGGGGGATGAAGTCCAAACGACCAGCAGCATACATTCTGTCGTCCTGGAGTTTGCAATCGTTTCTTATTCATCAGGTGGGGAGTGGGGGTGGGAAGAAAGATGTAAGCTGTCTTAGACTTTACAAGGGGATAAGAGAAGGTGAAGCAGCGCCAGCTCTGGGATAGGCACAGAGCCCACAAGGAAGAACGGTCCGCACCTTTGGACAGGCGCGCAACAGTCCAGAAAGTTCATTCACAAACAAGAAGTGGAGGCTCCTGGTGTTGGAAGCTTCATTCTTTTGAGTAACTGCAGAAATAGCCACCTAGAAATTAATACGAAGTTCCAACAGACATGAATATGAGCACTTTTGTAAGCGATCCACAGCTATTAACAGGCTAACTGTTCTACCTCACTCTCAGGCTACTGTAATTTAATTCAGAACATCTCAGAATTTTCTCCTTGTCAGCGCATAGACTAAGTAAGGTGCTCCAAATAAGGACAGCTAGCTGGAGAAGACACTAGGGACTCTACGGAGAAGATCACAACAAAGATAGTGGAAGTTGGGATGGTAACCAACATAATTTTGGAGAGTCTTATGGGAGGGCTAATTTCATATGCAGCTTGGAAACTCTCAGACCCTGTCAGAAATTCTGACACTGGAAAAACCCTGGTGAAAACTGATGCATGTTTAAGCTAACAAGCTGTGTAAGGTGTAGGGTGGAAAGAGCTAAGCAAAAACAATGAGAGATAAAGGAAACAATTCAAAATGTAAGAAAAAAAACTATGCACAAATAAATTCATCTCAGTGTTATTTATAATAGTAAAAAATTAGAAATAATCAGTCCCTCAATAAGTACATGGCAAAAATAACCAATGGTATAACCTAATGTAATACATGAAACTATTAAATTATGCTTATGAAAATCATTATGCAAATAAAGTGACATAAAGACTGCACATAACATTATGAGAAGTGAAAAGTCAGGTTACAAAATTGTATATATGATTTTTTTAAAACTCTGCATATAAAAAAACACTGGTAGAAAATATACCAGAATATTTTAATTGGTTATGTAAAACAATTATGGATTATGGATATTCCCCTACTTTTTTCTCTACTTTCCAAATGTAGTTAGAACACATAACAAAATCAAATCATTAACTGTAAATCCTAAAATGCAACAGATTCAGTTACCAAACTGCCAAGTTATATTTTACAATATAACAATATAATCACTTAATATAAAAAGGTTCATATTTCTTCATGGTCATACCTTTTCCCAGCTTTCAAATTTTCAATAGTAGAAACAGCCGAATGCTGCTACAACACAGAATAAACTATCCTACAAAACAAACAAAACAAAACACACACACATATCCAGAATGTTAGGATGAATAAAGAGTTAGATTTTCTGAATGTAGAAATAAAATTAAAACTAATGAACTTTATGTAATACATATTCATAAAATAAGCACTCCCATTTTTCCTGATTTATCAAAGAAATAATATATGAAACGCTTTGAGTTTCTTGGAGTAAATGTATTACCCAACTCAAAGAAGTACATTATAGTATCACACATAATAAAAATAACAGCTCCTTGTCATAAATTCTAGATAAAGATAAATGGTCTTTGGGTATTTGTTCTTAATTTATAAAATTCATTTATCCATCTTTTTGTTCAGAATCTCAAAATGCTTTCCAGATCCCAGTTAAACTTTTTAAGACACTTTTTAGGTACTTCTTATAGGAACTCCACCTGCCTCAGCAACTCTGGACCTACAAACCTCATCTCCAGCCTGACAGTGATGACAGAAAATCTGCTCAAGTACATGATTAATAATTTTTTTTAATCCTCACCTGAGGATATTTTTTCCTTTGCTTTTCAGAGAGAGTGGAAGGGAGAGAGAGAGAGAGAGAGAAAGAGACATTGATGTGAGAGAGACACATCGATTGGTTGCCTCCTGCACGCGCCCTGATGGGGGCTGGGGATCGAGCCTGCAACCGAGGTACGTGCCCTTAGCTGGAATTGAACCCAGGACCCTTTGGACCACAGGTCAATGCTCTAACCACTGAGCCAAACCAGCTAGGGCTCAAGTACCTGATTATTAATCAAAAGCAAAATTCTTTGGTTTGCCCAGTTCCCTGACTCCCCGGGTGAGATAACTGTGAGCTGTGTTCTATGACAGTGTTACTTGAGGTGAGGGACCTGTTTTTGTTTTTGTTCTAACTGCCAATCCCTCATGTACTGATACTTTTGCAAAATACAATAAAAATTAATAACTAGGAAAACAAAATGAAAAAAGAGTTTCTAAACCCTTACACTCAGTTTATATACTTATCTTGTTGAGGGCCTGTAACAAACGGTTCATGGCACTGGTCTGTGGACCCCACTTTGATTGGCACTGTTCTACAGTGTCACCCAGAGTTCTCAGCAGGACTGAGCCGGGTTATCCACAGCAATTATCAGCTCAAAAACATATGCCTTTTCTCTCCCCCTCCCACTTCCTCATCCTCTGCTGGTGCTTCTGGGATCTTCTCCCAAACAACAAAGTACTTTAAGCTCTGAAAATGACACCTAAACACTCAACTCAACCAACTGGACTAAAGATACAATACACTAACTCGGCAACCTAAACCAGGCTCTCAAAAATGTTTAGACACCTCACCCTCCAACCCTGGGTTCTAAAACCTGATCGTGGAAACTTTAAATAATAATGGATAACTAAAGCTTTATAGTACATATTTGTTAATCTGAGTATTATCTTTCCCGCCCTGCTTACAAGCTCCCCACAGGCCATAACCATTCCTGCCTTACCATCTTATTCCTAGCACCTTCAGGACAGGGGCTGGCACATAACAGATACTCAGAACTGTCTTCTAAATTAATGAATTATATTGTATAAGGACTCAGGGAAACAGAAATCTTTAACGCCAAAAAACAGGAAAAACCATCACCTTAACTTGACCCTTTCCCCAGAGAGCTGATAAATGAAGATTTACATAATACTTCCCACTGTTCAGCCCTTGATCACCAGGGCAGTTGAGCGCAATATGAAACTTTGGGAGGACCACAGAACTTTAGAGCTAAAAGGTACCTTAAGATCTACTACACCAGCAGCTTCCAAATCTGGCAGTAAGCATAACTATGTGGGGAACTTTGTTTTTTTTTTCAATCCTCACCCAAGGATATGCTTATTGGTTTTAGAGAGAAGGGGAGGGAAAGAGAGGGAGCTAGAGAAACATCAACCTGAGAGAGAAACATCCATCAATTGCCTCCTGTATGTGCTCCAACCAGGGATGGAACCTGAAACCTTTTGGTGTACGGGACAATGCTCCAACCAACTGAGCCACCTGGCCAGGGCCATGTGGGAAACTATTTTAAAAATTTAGATTCACTGATCCAACCTCTAGCTTATTTGATTAGAATCTACTTAAGTTGGACCCCAGCATCTGTATTTTAAACAAATTTCTCAAATAATTCTTGGGCAGCCACAGCCAGTCTTTGGGAAAATCTAGTACAGTTTCCTAACGTTACTGACACAATGAGACAAAAGTCAAATGACTTACCTAAAGTCATTCAATTAGAAAGTTACAGAGCTGGAAATGGAACCTCTCCTAATTCACTCAATCCAGTTTCTGTTCTACACTGCTATCCTTAACTCTGACTCTACTAATTCACAACCTGGGAGCATTTGGATAGAGGAAGCAAGTATAAAACATTATTAAAATTTTTTATAAAACATTCATGCCAATAACTTTTCAATGTTTAAATGAAAATTCTTTTCTGCCAGGCCGGGTGTGGCTCAGCGGTTGAGCATCGACCTAGGATCTAGGCGATCGGGGTTCGATTCCCAGTCAGGGCACGTGCCTGGACTGTAGGCTCGATCAATGACTCTCTCATCATTGATGTTTCTGTCTCTCTCTCTCCCTCTCCTTTCCTCCCTCTGAAATCAATAAAGATATATATATATTTTTTTAATTCCTTTCTTTTGGATTCCTCTTTAATTTTGCCTAGTTTTGAGAAATAGCTTTAAGATAAAGTAATTAATTTGATTACTAAAAGAAAAATCACCTTTGCTCATGGAATCCCTGCCACTCAAATTTCTTTGCAGCTTAGCAAAGTACTACATAGCTATTAGCGCTAAACAGTATGCTATACTCAAATTCAACCTTGTGAAGAGTTATGTCATCTGTATTCATATAAGTCTTCTTGCCTATAAGCAGCACACTAGGTTTCTGCTTTAGTAACACAAAAAAGAACAGTAAAATCATCTCATCCAGAAGGAATCTGAGACAAATGTCTCAAACTAAAGTGTCCTCACATTTCAATAAATATTAAGTAATTTCCTTTGGAAAGCCCCCGTGTCCTCTGGAAGGAAGAAGGGGTTCCCAAACAGACTTACATTCATGAAAACATCATGAGTATAGTTGTCAGTGTCGGCATCCCAGAAACAGCGAGCAGCCATGCTAAGAAGTCAAAGATTAGAGAATTATCAACACTATAACAAGGGTCTGAGCCACATATATCTGCCAACAGCAGAAGTTTTCCTTGATACATTCTTTTAGATCAGTACTTCCAAACCTTTTCACAGGGTGACACACACAAAAGCATATTTGTTGAGCAGAGTATACAAGGTAAACTAGAAGGAACTGGAGTCGTAGATAAGGCTGCTTGCAGTTGGAGGTGACCAGCCCAGGGGTCTAGCAGCTTCAGCCTCTGATTAGCTGCCTGATGACTAAAAGGGTCACCACCTTGAAGTCTTTGGAACTCTGTGTGAGAAGCTCTGTTACATAGATTACGCTGGCTAAGATATTTGTGTGTGTGACTTTTAAAGAAAAGAACACCTAAGAATTATGATTAAAATGGACTTAATTCTTGCACAATAACATGAGAAAGTAAGTCTGGAAAGGATCCAACAGATTCTTTACTCCAATATAGAAAAGGGGAAAACTATGAACTAGAACTCAATCTTCTAATTCTACATCCAGTATTATTTCTACGGTATGCTATGCTACCTTTAAATTCTCAACTTGGCCATTCTCCTCTCTAGTTTTTGGATAAGAAAAAGGTGTCATTCAAAATAAAAACCAATTAAAAAATGCAAACAATTTAAATTCCCAGTAGTATTAGATTGGTAAATGAAATTAGGGTATTTCTTGGCAATGAAATTCTATGCAGCCATTAAAGATATTTTTTACAAAATAACTTCAAGAACATGAAAAGATGTTCATAATATAATATTAAATTTAAAAAGTAATTACAAATGTTTTACACTTTTTATTAAATGTATATGTATGATTCATCAATAACATTTATTGAGTGCGTACTTTGTGCCAGCCTTTGGCCTAAATGCTTTACATGTATTGACTCACTTAATCTTCTGAGGTAGGTATTATTATTACACCCATTTAACAAACATGAAAACTGAGGATCAAAAAAATTAAATAAAATTGACCCAGGTCATTCAAGTAGTAAGTGACAAAGCTTCACTTTGAAACTATGCAACTTAGCTTCAAGTCTGTAGCGAAAGATATAGATATACCATATTATACTGGTTCACTTCTGAAAGCTATTTTTAAAAAGTTTTACACAGAAGAGCACCCCCTAACCTAATATTTTACTTTTAAAAAAAAAAAAAATCCTCACCGAGGATATGTTTTTATTGATTTTAGAGAGAGGAAGGAAGACATGGACAGAGGGGGAGAGGGAGAGGGAGGGGGGAGAGAAAGAGAGAGAGAAACATTGATGTGAGAGAGAAACATCAATTGGTTGCCTTCCCTATGCCTGCTGACCAGAGATTAAACTCACAACCTAGGTATGTGCCCTGACTGGGAACTGAACCTACAACCTTTTGGTGTACAGGATGATGGACCATGCTCACCCAGCCGGGGCTATTTTACACATTCTTAAATCAAAAGCGTTCTACCTATTTGCAAAAGTAACAATATAAAATAAAGTCAATCTACTTAATTGATCAATCAACAAGTATTTATTTAGCAACTACCATGTGTCCAGAAAGAGCAAAATCTGGCTCTATCCTCAATTCTCAATTAGGTGAAAAAAAAATGAGCACACATCAAAAGAATAAGACGTATATTGTGTTAATGTATAGGTTATTAGGTTTAAAAGGAACTGCAACATCTACCTAGTCCAAGCCTCCAAGTCCAAATTGCACAGTTGAATTAAATCTGTAGTAGTGCTACAGAAATTTAGCGAATTTAGAGAAAAGCCAAAGAAGACTTCATGAAGAAAGCAGTACTTAAGCTGAACAGAACCAAGTGGAGACATAAATATAAAAATGTATTTAACAGATATTTGTTGAATATCACATATGAGCAAAGTGCTACATGCAAATGATACAAAGATACATAAAACATAATCATTGCCTTCAAATTGGACTCTTTACACCCTTTCCCAATAAAAGGAACCAGAGCTACTTGGAAAAAGTGTCAATTCCAGGGCTAGGGCTGTAAATGTAGAAGATAAATCTGAAATATCTGGGTCATCAAAACCCTGAACCATATAAAAAAGAATGCTACATTTAAATATATATGTTTACATGTATTTATAAAGTTGTGTCAAAAGGACTTAGAAAAAATATGGTGGAACAGTCTGTAGCAGGTCAGTGCTCCCTCCCAGATCAATTAGAAAAACTGGATAAAATGGATCAGAGCTGCTGAAGCAAACAGGACTAGAGGAGCCAAAATTCCATAGAGGTGAACCCCTAGGAGGTAAACTGATATTCTGCACTGGAGTTCTCCCTGGGGCATTTTCCAACTCTGGGCACACAGCTAGAGGCTGAGAATATGGGTTTTGTCCAGGTAGAAGACCAATTACTGAGAGGGAAAATAAACCAGCAGGGCTGCTGGCAGTCTTGCAGGGCTAGGGAGATAAAATCGGAGACCTGAAGGACGAAGATCCCTGTAGAAAATGAGAGAGGAAAACTGAGTCTTAACATTACATGGTAGGTTTCCTCTCAAGACATGTGCTGAAATTCTGAAACTGTGCAAGCAGGAACCTAAAAAACTAAGTGTGGTGGGCAAAATAATAGCCTCTCACCAAATATGTCTATGACCTAAACCCCAAAACCCAGGAATATGTTATAGTACATGGCAAAAAGGGTTTTACATATATATGACTAAGCTAAGGACCTTGGTATGCGGAGAGTATTCTGGATTACCCAGGTGAGCTCAGTGTAATCACGGGGGAGAGGCAGGTGGGTCAAAGTCAGAGAGATATTTGAAGATGGAGGAAAGGAATGCAGGCAGCCTCTACAAGCTGGAGTAGGCAAGGAAATAGATTCTCTAATAGAGCATCCAGAAGGAATACAGCTTTACTGAGCCCTTGATTTTAGCTCAATGAAACCCATTTTGGATTTATGATCTCCAGAACTGTAAGATAATATATCTGTGCTGTTTTAAGGCACCTGGTTTGTAATTTGTTACAGCAGCAATAGGAAACTAACACATCAAAGAAAAAGACTCTAAAATGAAGAGTAGTTTTATGCTGAGGAAACAAGGACTAAAAGTACTTGCTAGAGTGGGGTTCAGATGAATGCTTCAGGTTCTTGGTTGAGAGATCTGGAGAACTACATTTAAGAAAGAAGGGTGGCCCGGCTGATGTAGCTCAGCGGTTGAGCATCAACCTATGATCCAGGAGACTGAGGTTTGATTCCTGGTCAGGGCACATTCCCCGGGTTAAGGGCTCGATCCCCAGCAGGGGGCGTGCAGGAGGCAGTCGATCAATGATTCTCTCATCATTGATGTTTCTCTCTCTCTCTCCCTCTCCCTTCTTCTCTCTGAAATCAATAAAAACACATTTAAAAAAGGAAGGAAGGAAGGGAGGGAGGGAGGGAGGGAGGGAGGGAAGAAGGAAGGAGGGAAGGAAGGGAAGGAAGGGAAGGAAAGGAAGGAAAGGAAGAAAGGAAAGAAAGGTGAACTGAAGACAGAGCAAGTTTTATTAAAGCTGCAACAAAACCTCAACTCAGCTCAGTACCTGACTGGATTAAGGTAAGCAGTCCATTCTTTACCTGAATAGCAAAGGAACCCTATCTGAAAGAAAATAATATTATCTGGAGGTTCTACAGTTGTTTTTTTAACACCATGTCCAGGATTCAAACTAGGCATGCTAATATAGGATGCTAATGATAGAGGAAACTAGATGTAGAGTATATGAGAACTCTCTGTACTACCTCTGCAACTTTTCTACAATCTATAACAATCCTAATATAAATTTATTTTTTAAAAGTTAATGGCTAAATATTCCATAAAAAGACTGTGTAGGGAAAGCAGCCCCAAAGGGGCTGAGAGACTGAAGATTGAGACAGATGAGTCCAGCTTGTTGGTTAATGGGTTTAATAGGGAACTTATAGGAAA